AAAATAAATTATTTTTATATTCGAGCATAAAAAAGACCTTTTTCTTTACAAGAAATCTTACATAAAATTACATCTTATGGCACAGATTATGCCGTACCGTCATCACGGGCTACTTGGACCCTTAGGCTACTTTTTACACCCACGTAAAAAATGTTTCCAGCGGTTGTAGTCACTTATACATTGCATTGACCAGTTAGTTTGCAGTTTCTTCCGTGTGATGGCAACACAGTTTGCCATTAAACGCGTTTAGCATCATTCGGTGGTACAACTGTAAGTTACAGCACTCTATTAAGTGTTGGGACTCGAAATTGACCGAATTTGAGCCCTGCAAACTTTTACCTCTACACTGAATTTCAAGATAGTTGATCAAAGGATCAGTTAACATTTTGATAATTATATATTTGTTAATAGAATGGCTATGATAACTTCGTCATCAGTAGAAGCCTTTCCCATTTTTTAATTTCTCGCCTTACGAATTCTTCGTAAGAAGAGAAAGTTATGTAATCATGCGACAGAACACGACGAATTATCGTCAGAAAAAGTATTATAGTTGGACTCTGGAAACGAAAACGTGGATAAATCCTGTTGCTAAATTTTCTTAGGGGGGAAATCTTCTAACACTTGATGTAGCCAGAATCCATTTGTTGGTTTTTGATACCGACAATTCATTTGACGGCAAAACTGCTTTCATTTTGTGACCCGAAAAATAATTTTTTTCCCCACATTTCTCTGTTAGTCGGCTCCGTAATGCTAGAACAGAAACCACCATATACTTATTACTATTATAGAAGTATTGCTTTCATGTCCGGACGGAATGGTCGAGGTTGCTGAATTAATGGGTACGGGCCTATCTCTACAGAGGGAAGGGTGTCTGGTTCGAGTCTAGTCATGGGATTATTATTTGTGTGACAATTCTGTGTTGCCGCAGAAAATAATTAAAGATTCAACATACTTTATTGAAAACCATTTGAAGCAATTCTAATCGCAAATAGAATTAATCAAAATAAATAAACTGGAAGTGTCTGTATGTGATTTTCGAATTTTTAACTATTTTCACATCTCTTATTGGATTTGTAATACGTATTAACAATCAAATTAATTGTTCTCTTTTGGCGCTTATTATAGAAGTGCCAATTCTCTGGAAAACCCGGGTGGCCGAATTGGTTATATGTCGAGTTCGGTCGCAGCGTTTCGTGAAGAACCATTGTTTCGAGTCTCTTATGACTATAATAGAACTCATTGATTTTTCGACAATTGGAAAAGTTCAAATTTTTTTCGGTGACTTCTTACAACTACAATATTGAAGAGAGAGACTTTTTTCTTAATAAGATCCGTTCGTTACTGACATATCTTGAGACAAGGTCGTGTACAATTTTTCGATAATGTGAGTAGTTTTCGCGAAATTTTGTGTAAAATATATGCAATTTTTATATTCCGTATACGTACATATATAGGGAGTATTATACGTAGTACAGGAGAAGTTATGTAATGCTGCGGAAAATCGATTAAGGGATTTCAAAGGATATACACCTTTTGGGGACCCCAGATACCGAGAAAGTTCTTTTATTTAAAACGTTCGTCTGTCTGTTCATTCGTCTGTGAACACCTCTAGCGCCTAAACCATACGTAGGATTTTTTTTCCAAATTGAAGAAACCCCTGCCCATCTTGCTCGTGTCGAATCTTTAAAATTTTGAAAAAAATGTTTAAAAATTGGGGGCACTTTACATGAAACTCCCTGAACGTTTTCAAAATTCAATAAACGTAAAAAAGGGATCCAATTTTGTTCTTTATATTTCTTGTACAACTTGTACAGTAAAATACAATTATAAAGGTGGCATATACCCGATTTTCACGATTAACTCTGAATTTTCGAAAATTTCAAAATTTTTCGACCGCCTTCCTACAACTACAAAATTGAAAATGGAGATTTTTCCTTCAAAAAAAAAAATTTGTTCTTCGTAGTAAGTTATTTCATTAAGGTTATGCACATTGTTTTGGAAATTTCAGTAGTTATCGCGCAATATTGCGGGCAATATGTGCAATATAAAAAATACAATAACATTTTTTTCAAACACAGCTCCAAATTTTATCTTTTCACTTTTGGGAGGGATAGTTCTAAATGTACTAAGATGACATGAACGTCATATTGCTCTATTCTTTTGTTTTTTCAAACGTAATTTTATTGACTTATTTTTCACGTCGTTATTAGCGGCAATTTGTTTACATTTTTATATTTATGTGTACATGTCCTTTAAATAATGTCAGATATAATTTTAAATAATCTCAAGTTTCTCGAAAACTCAACCGTTTTCTGTGAAAACTAGCTCAAAATTCCGAATTTTCAGAAACATTGAAACGCCATTTTCACAAAAACAGCTCCAAATTTGTTTCTTCAAACTTTGCGAACGGATGGTACTGATGGCACTCTTTAATATGAAATAAAGTTCATCTCGGAGGTCTTTTTTTTAATAATTACACAATTTTTTTAATATCACTCATGCCGTTAATATGCACATTTCTAGCAATTTGTAAATACTATTGTATTTGTAAGTTAAAAGACTTTAAATGACTTCAAATAAAGTTTTTCGAAAACTCAAATTTTTTTGTGTGAAAACGAGCTTCAATTTTCGAATTTACAGTTTTAGAGTTAGGTTTATTCAGTCAAAAAACAGCAACAACTGTATGTGACGTAGGGGGGGAAAGATTATCTGCACACGATTTCTTGAGTTCCAGAATCCCTTCCCGTACAGTAGCGCTGAAGCGCCATTTTGTTAAAAACGCTTCCAAATTTTTCAAAGAAAAATTCCATTTAGGACGAGGTTTTACTGTTCTTTAATATTTTTATAATAATATTTGCATTCTACTATTACGAAACAAAAAAATTAAAAAATAACAAAAAATGTACTTTAGGCTGCGATGGATGGCAGCTGGCAAGTGTATGTGGCCGAAGTCCGAATAGCTAGCCAAGTCCAAAGCAAATAGATAACTAATTCGGGAAAGTCTGTGCCATTCTGTAGTACGATAGTTACTTTCTCGTATACCTACGAATTCACGGAGTAATATACGTAGTATAGAGAAAGTTGTGTAATGCTGTTAAAACTCTATTCGAGATTTCAACGGGAATACACGTTTTGGAGCCCCCTGATACCAAAAAGTGGTTCATTTCATGGTGGAAATAATTTACAGCATGGTTCTTTCCAAAATGTCCGTCCGTTCGTTCGTCCGTCCGTCCGTCTGTCCGTCCGTCTGTCAGTAAGTCCGTCCGTCTGTGAACACGGCTACCGCCTAAACCATGGGTAGGATTTTTTCTAAAATAGATTTTCCCTGATCGATCTGCTCGACTCGAGGTGCTGTGATTTTGGGAAACTTTCTTCAAAGTTTGGCGGTTCTTTGCATGAAGCCCGCGGACATTTTCAAAATTTTCTCAAAAACTGCCCCAAATTTTTTCTCTAAATTTCTTGTAAGAATTGAGTAAAATACACTTATAGAGGTGGCACTAGTCCGATTTCAAGTAAACTCTAAAGTTTTGAAATTTTCAAAATTTTGAATTTTTTTAGACGTCTACAAAATTGAAGATAGAGATATTTCCTTCAAGTGAATTTGTTGCCCATAGTTATTTCTTTTATCAAGGTCACGTATATTTTTTGAAAATTTTAGTAGTTCTCGCGCGATATTGTACGCAATATTTGCAATAAAAAAAAAATTACGAAACAAGATTTTCTCAAAAACGGCTTGAAACTTTTTCGGTACATATGGACTATATGCAAGATGACATGAACGTCATATTGCTTATTCTTTTTCTTTTCGAAAATTACCAACATGTCACCTTTTTACTTCTCTCACGTAGTTAATATGTGCATTAGTGGCGATTTGTTTACATTATTGTTTTTATGAGTACATCTAATTTAAAAAAGTCATATAAAGTTTCTCGTAAACTCATCAGTTTTCTATTAAATTGAGCTCAAAATCCCGCGTTTTCAGAAATGCTCAAAGGCCATTTTCCCCAAAACACCTCCAAATTGTTTCTTCAAACTTTTCTAACGGATAGTGCTAATTGCAACGTAAAAATGACATAAAGTTCGTTTTGCTATATTAAATTACAGAACAGTATTTTTTAAAAATATCTCTCACGCCATATCTCTCATGCACATTTGCAGCGATTTGTAAACACTATTGCATTTGTGAGTGCTTCAAATGACTTCTATGAAGTTTTTCGAAAACTCAAAATTTTTCTGTGAAAAAGTGCTTGAAATTTTTCATTTACAGTAGCGCTTAGACCCCATTTCCTTAAAAACGACTACAAATTTTTCAATAAAAGTTGCCATTTATGATGAGGTTTTACTGTTCTTAAATATTCGTAAAGTAATATTTCAGTTCGACTATTCGGAAATCAAAAAAATAAGGAAATTAAAAAAAAACTCTACTTTGGGCCGCGATAGATGGCAGCTGGCAAGAGAATGGGGCACCATCGTAAAGCCAATTCACGCCAAAGAAATTAGAAAACTTTACTAAGAGAAAGTCTGCCATTCTGTAGCACCACTAGTTTTTATTTATGTGTATGTCATATATGTGCGTTCATTGTAATATGTAAATTAAAATAATGAAATAAATTGACAAACTTCTCTTTATCCCGCGATATTTACCCAGAAAATCAACATTAAATTCCTCACACAAAACTGGATTTAAAAGAGCGATGACTAATTTTGTTCAGAGGCGTCTCTATATTTTCCAAGAAAGCGAAGTAATCTATACCTCGCTTTGTTCAACGTCTATTCGTTTTCGGTGTGTGTGTGTGTGTGTGTGTGTGTGTGTGTGTGTGTGTGTGTGCGTGTGTGTGTGTGTGCGTGTGTGAGTGTGTGCGTGTGTGCGTGTGTGTGTGTGTGTGTGTGTGTATTGGCGCGCGCGCGCGGGAGCGTGTGTGTCTTATCTTTGTCTCTCTGGCTGTTTCGCTCGCTCTCTCTCCAATCATTTTTTATTGTGAAAAAATATGAGAAGAAACAATTGGACTTATATGTTGCTTGATAGGACAGTGATTAAAATTGTTAGAAATAACCTAATATTATTGTTTTTGTGCTGCTATTTCTTTAACAGTAATAGGACATGTGATCGAACGTAATTTAATGTTGAATAACCCGCTAAAGAATTTGTGTATGTGTGGGCCAATGAGAATTAATTCTTTTGGCCAAGTTGCTGTCGTTCGTTCTTCATTTTCCAGAGGGCGCTGATGTTGTTAGTGATTTTTGACGTTTGGATGGAATACAAACGAACTGATCACTTGTTGCTTCATGTGTCGGTGGGTGGAAGTGTATGTGTGAGTGGCGCATTGTTTGTAAGTTGCAGTTTCAGTGGCATTGGTCTATGAAATCATCGTCAAGAATAATTACGTGCATGAATACTGTTCATGGGAATCTGTACGTAGATATCTCAGGGTGTAAAATTTGGAGGACAGCGTGGCAAATTTCGAGGGCTGCAAAGCTGTCACTTTGACTTCATCTGATTAATACTCATCGGTGTCATCAATGAACATGAATTCTGCCGAAGATAATTCAGATGCAGGTAAGCCATCATATCGAATAATAAATTAGTGTTTCCGGCGAACAGAAAATGCTTATAAACCCAACTCGCGGGTCCGAGTACGTATTTAGGTTGCTTCCCGTTGGTTTACTGTATATTACCGTTATTCACACTTTGAGCCCATTTTTAGTATATGCTTATTTCAGAAAAAGTTTTTAATTTCTTACGGAAGGCCTACAATACATACCAAACTGTTGTTCTTAACAAATGTATTTATAACATTGTAGATGTGTTTGTCTTCATAAATAAATTAAAGAAAGGAAAAGTATATTTACAAAAGATGAAGTATTTAAAGAAACCTGTACGTCTTTATCTATTTGTATTAAAGAATGTACTAAAAGGATTGATTGTTAGATATTAAATTTTTACCTTCTTTGTAGGTATTCCAAATATTCCTGGACCATACATTAGTCCAGAACAGACTGAATCCTTTCCTTTGAAGCAAGCGTTATATGGTGGAAATAGAAGAGTTTCTAAAGAATGCTGCCCATGCATGGACAGAGATGAAAGTAGTGGTTTACGTGTAATAGTGACATGCTTCTTTGTTTTATCATTGATCATAACTGTGGCATTGGCAGCTCAGATTTATTTTGGAGATTATCAGGTACCTAATAATAATAATAATAATCCTCCTTGCAATATGAATATCAAAGATATTTCCAGTCATTAAAAAAATTGTCAGAATGTGTTGATATATAGTTGCTTAAAGTTTGCAAAATATTATACACTATATCTTAGAATCCAACCTGCTATTGGAAAACAAGGGAAAGGGTTTTTAAATTTTAAAGGTACATGTTGAGTGTTTGAAAAAGTGTTGCAGCATATTTTATTATTATTGTTATTATTTGACATATAGTTTACAACAAGATTTCTTTTTTTTCTCTTATACCGTTCAATAAGTTGTCGTTAAAGGTTTTAAAATATTTGAACTTGTTTTTAATTATACTTCATTTACAAAAGAATTTAGATGATTTAATAAAATTCAGATTAGTCTTTGTTAATATAGAATTGTTCCGTTTGCTATTTCTATTCCATAAAATTGATGCAAATATTGAAAGAACTGACATGTTCTCATCTTTAATCCATGAAATTGTAGTTTTTTTTGTTTTTTTTTCATTTAAAGTTACTCCTAAAGTAAACTGGACTGATTTAATAGTTGCTTTCTTAGCTCCTTTAAGGATTTGAACACATTTACTTTCATCAAAAGTTCTCTCATTTTCCCTTATGCTGAATGTTCTCTCCATGATTAAGTATTTGTGTTTTGGTCAAGTATTTAAATACTGGAATTTCTGTAAGTTTACACGATAGTTCTGATGTTTGGATGTGTTACCTTCCCCAATATATTGTGATGTTTTTGCGAAGTAATGTTAATTATAGAAAATATTGGAGTTTAGAACACAACTTCTATTTTTTAAGAGTTGTCAAGCCCCGTTTAGATTTTTTTCAGGTTCTATGAATATGCATGACATCATTTTATATTTCTGCTATTTTTGAGTTCATCAGTTACGGACAAATGTAATGAATTTGATTGGTATTACAGCTAGTACCACATGGTAGTGTTGCCACAGACAGTCATTATTGTTCTGTCATTGGGACAGACATATTAAAGAAGGGTGGCAATTCAGTGGATGCAGCTGTTGCAAGCACATTTTGTATGGGTGTATTACAGCCACATGTTACTGGTCTGGGAGCGTAAGTTGAACAGTACTATATTTAATAAAACAAAGCTACTTTTATGACTGGTTTAATTTTTTTCTCTTTGTACCGTTTCCTTTGCAATTATATATTATGGAAAGGTCTGTAGAACAATTAAGTTTTCAAAATTTGATCTTCAGTATGTTCTGAAGTCGGGAACACGATACATTTTCAGGAAATTGTTTAAACCAGCACTTTGCACCACAGTGGAGGGGACGAGGAGTAATTAGGGAGGTTTTGTGAGAAATCTTTGGAAGGAATGGTATCTTTCAGGATTTACTCAACCGCTCGCTTGACTAGGGTGTACTGTGTTTTTTACTTTTACCTAAATATGAATATTTTCATACAAGTGCAGCCACAGAAACGGGTTATTTTAATGATCTTATTTGAACGATGATGAGATTCTCATGGTCAGTTATTTATATCTTGATCATTTCAGTGATTTGTTGTGTATTTATTGTTTTAGTGGGGGATTTTTATTGGTTTATGACCATAGAAAGAGGCTTGTCTTGGACGTTATTGATTTCCGAGAAATTGCTCCATTAAATTACATGCATTCGCCTAATGAAAGTGCATTTCAAGACATTAATGCTCTGAAGGGACAAGATATTGGAGTTCCAGGACTTGTTAGAGGTCTGGCACTTGCTCATTCACTATATGGAAAGTTGATGTGGAAAGATGTTGTAATGCCATCAGTTTTGCTTGCAAGGTAAGATTCATTTTTTAGTATGTTAAATTTTTTTCATTTTACTGTGCTGTTATATTGACTTAACACAACCATGCAGAGGAATGACAAGCCACCTTTAATTGCCATCCACCAGGAACAGCTAAAACGCAATTGATTCACCTGAAGATTGTGCATGAAGACACTCATTCCAAGAAATGGCATTTCTTGTTTATATGATGTTTTTTGGTATGGTATTACGAAAAGTAATGAACAACACACTGCCAATAACACAAATAACAGACGTACTTAGTTGCAAACCTCGGCTATTGCCTCAGTTTACAAACTTCAAACCTGTTTGTAATATGGTTGCTTTAGGCCTATTGACGTTAATAACTATAACCAGCCCTGAAATGGCTCAAGATCAATCTGCTTGCTTTCTATGCATTAGGGCTCAGGTTTGATTCCTGTCAGGAGTAGGAAAAATTTGTTGCAGCTGCCACAGTGCAGTAATGTGTTTCAGTCTCTCTGTCTGGGCCAATAGAGAAGCCGCAGAGGGTACTAGTGGATGCAGAGTAAATGCATTTGTGCAATTAAAGGTGTTACACATAGGGTGGGAGTTTAGGTGGGTGCTAGGTCACGCTCTAGGCAGGTGAGCAAAGCAATGGCAAACTTTACTTCTCTAGTTGCCATGCTTTCCTTCCATAAATACATTATACATTAATGTACTTTGATAATTATAATAGTCATGTAATTTACTATTTTTAGAGCAGAAACGTCAATATCACAAGTGTCATAAAATGGACAAACATGCATAAAATGCAAACCTCCCTAAATTGTAATTTTATTTTGTGTCCCAATCGATTATGGCTAAGACAGATTTTACTGTATTTGGACATAGATAATGTTCAAAATTATTCGAACCCATAAAAGCATCAATTAGAAGCTTAAAAGTGTTGTAGGTTGTAACACTTTCATTCATAGGTTCCTGTTGTCATTCACAATGTTCTCACGGTAGTGAGTTGATTCCTTCACTTCGGGCAGGATAAGAAAGAGAACCAAATTTAATCCTGGAAGCGGTGACAGCCAGAGGGGTTAATTCTCATGGGGGAATAATATGTTTACTCTCAAGAGCCATACATTGAGAGAAAAACATTTCAGCAGTCTATTACAACTTTTAATTCACTAGAGAATAAAATCGTGCTGACAACTTTGTAATAGAGGTCTATGCATAATGGCTTTGTCAAGCTACTGGCGTGTTCAAGGAAGGCACAGAAAATTTGCACATGCTCGTTAGGCAATGGTAAACTATCTCACTTTCTCCAATTGCCTAGTATATCTCATTAGAGCTACTCTCTTGTATCGCTTGGAGGATCCCACCAACCTTGAAGCTGATGACTATATATTCTTTTAATTGAGAAGTGCTTCAATTCAGTGTTTTTATTTCTGTTTCTAGGAAAGGTTTCCAAGTTCCACACAGCCTTGCGCAGGCCTTGAGACGATTTAGTGCCAACTCCACTGATAATCTCAAACTGCAAGAAACTTTTAGCTCTCAACCTGGTGCCAATCAAACATTACCTCATTTAGCAGAGGCTCTAGAAAAAATTGCCATCCTTGGACCAGATGGTCGGTAAATCTGTTGCTTTGCATAGATCCGTGCTGATAGACTAAGAGTTCTACTAACACTTCTGTGCTATTCAGGTATTGGTCCTTTTGTATATATTTTTCTCTCATTCCAGTCAGTCAAAATTGCACTTCCTGTAGAGATAATATTTGGGTTTGGAGCGGTACCAATCAGTGCTTAATGAAAGTGATTTTGAGGATTAGTGGGTTTTTGGTTTCACTGCATGACGGTCAGATCTGAAGAGGTATTTGCTCCTCTTGTGGGAATGTATGATACATCCAAGTATTAGTTTGTAGTAACTTAGAGCAGCAATGGCACTAAATGTAGCACTCATCTCTTTCACAACTAATGGCAAAAATTAACAATGTTAATGCAACAAAAATTGGAAAAGCACAATTATGAAAATTAAAATATTTTGTAATGAGTCCAGGAGAACAATCAGAATACGTATGTTTCAAACATTGTGTATTGCAAGTGCTGGAACAGATGGTAACGAGGTTGCAGATGTTCCAATAATTGAACCTGACTCTTACACACACATTCGTTAATTCTTTATGTTTAAATGATTTTTGTAGTTCATGTATAAGATGAGTCTGTAACACAATTTAAGTTCTTGTTATGAACATACATTTTATGAAAACATTTTACAATAATGTTTGAAATTTTAAAACATGTGAATACCGTGCCAGATAAGCCTCTAAGACCCTTTACTACATACTAATTTATGGATTGACTGTTTAAACATTTGTTCTTGAATGGATCTTAGAATAGAACGAAGGTGATGGTATGTGTTGGGGGCATTATCTCTTGTGCACAGAAGAGCTTGTCCTGCATCCTGGAGATATTTGCTGTCTGAAATTATACCTCTTAGTTGTGTGTTTGTAGAAGAGTTGAAGAGTACCATTGGATGCATTTGCAGGGTCTTGTGTAATACAGGGCAGTTGAATGTATATGCATCTCAATATCTTCAGTTCACAAATTTGCATATTCTTCAATTATATCTGAAACCTAGGCTCTTGTTGGTTAGTGTGCTTGCTTTTCACAGCGCAACCCTGCGTTTGATTCTCCGGATGGGGCAAAATTATAACTGTGTTTTCTTATGTGCCAGTATCTATTGCTGTGTGATGATGAGAAAGCCCACCCCAAGGTTATGAAGACCAGTATGTACGGTGGAGGTATGTCTTCATGCTAACCGCACAAACCCCTTATCCCATGACCGAGAGGCTGGGCCACCGCTGCACTGTATCGGGCTGTCAAATCAAGGACAGAACATATCTGAAACCAGTTGTTTTTACTTTGACAGTGCTTAAGTGTTTTGTCTCGCTTTAAGTGCAGCCTTCTGGATGGTATAGAAGAAGAGAGATTTTCAAGTAACTGGTGTGCAAAAATTAAAATTTTCTCAGCAAATTGCTATAGAAAACGTTTGTTCATCTAATTAAGGAGAATACAATGGTATCTTTTTTCCACCTGAAATGACTGGCCATGAATTTGTAAATATTTTTGAATGTTCAATTTTTTTTAAGGATTTCAGTAAAATAATGAAGTATATTAATTAACATTCTATATCTTTAATCTCTTAACTTGGTTTTCACGTAGTCATGATATTAGAGATATTGAAAACCTAGTTAAGAGATTAAAGATATTGATAAAGATAAGAAGAAAATTATTAATTATATTAAAAAAACGCATGCTTAGAAAATTTGTCAATAGTGCTGTTGGTAGCTCAATTTTGGAATGCTGGACTTACTATGTGGAATACTTGTAATTCTCACATTAACTAATACAATTTTGTTGTATTTTATGTTTTCTGTTATAGTGACAAAATTTCTTGAAAAGAATGTTTCTAGTAATGGATCTAAACTTGGAAATATTTTTCAGGATTTAACAAATGAGCAAATTCATTTTCAAATGTCTTAGTTTCTGCAAACATTTGTAATACTTGTTATGCATTCTTTTCTTCTTGAAGATATATCTTATTACAATATTAAAACTTTTTTTAAAGATTTTTTTGGTGAGAAAACTATCTGATTATTAATGCAGCTTTGATGAAAGTCCATTGTCTTTTGTTCACAATACTTAATGCAAAGATATTAATAAATGTGACACAATTCAGTAAAAGATGGTTTTTATCTCCTATGTTTGCAGTGATTCTTTTCTGTGAAATATAATTTTAAAAAGACTGACTTATGTAAAATTCATAGTTGTATTAATTAGGAGAGCTTATTTAATCTTGTTTGTACTTAATGTTATTGATTTCACATATGTTCAATTAATTCATGTTCTTATCATTTTTCAGTTTTCTACAATGGCTCACTTGCTGCCAGTATGTTACAAACACTTTCTCAAGCTGGAAGTAATATTACAAAGCAAGATCTTTCTGATTACACTCCCAAAAGGCGAAAAGCACTTCAGGCCAAGTTTTCAAACTTCGAAGTTTTTGTACCAGGTGCTCCGTCTGGTGGACCTCTTCTTCTGGCTACCCTTAATCTTTTGAAGAATACAAACATTACTGATGAAGAAGAGATAGTTAGTGTGCTTTCTGGGAAATTAAATGACATGTATGAAAATTTCAAGGGAGATTGGGGTGAGGATTTTGAAGTTCTAACTACAAATATTTTTAGGATATACAGTATAGTACATTTTTATACTACGTATATAACAAAGAAAATAAGATGCTGAGCAAAAATGGTGATTATTCGACAGAAAAACGTTTTTGTAGATCTCTGATACTCAAAAAGAGGATATTTGTATTTCCACATGTAATAAGACTTCCTGTAACACATCATGTAGTCAGAATCCATGTTTTGTGGGTCTATACCGAAAAATTGGTTTACGACAGAATGTCTGTACATGTTCATCTGTCAGTCCTTGAACAACAATGGCAGCTAAATTTATATTTCAAGATTTTCACCAAAATTAATATTCCCCAATTGATTCAGCTGATGTCGCAGAACCACGAGCTTGAAATGGGTAAATTGGTTTTTGAGGTACTCTACGTAAAGGAAAGTGATGTTTGAATATTTTTATTAAAAACCAAACTGGCTCCAAATATTTTCCTGAGAAGGCAGAGTAATTTCATAGAAATGTTGCAGGTCTGATATTTTATGAACTCTCTGAATTTTTGAAAATTGCAAAAGATAAAAAAGTTTTCGGCATCTTCCTACACCTGCAGTATTGAAAATATAATTTTTTTCTTAACGAAATGTGTTCTAAAAAATAGGTCTTTAAATGTGATTATAGTAATTTTTTGAAAATATGAGTCATTTCCATATAATTTTTCATGAATTATTGGGAAATTTAAGAGCAATTATTTTGTCAACAAGAGGTCAAAATTTTTTAAAAAAATTATTACCTTGTTTTTTCTAACAGTAAAGAAAATTAGTACTTACCTAATTTTTGCTGAACTCTCTGTATTATTGAACTTTGCCAACAATTAGCATGGCAAAAGTACAATATTGATTTGGAACAAGAGAGAGAGAGAAAAGAAATCTGTTCTGAAAATTGGATATTAAAAATACAATGTTAGTATACAATAGTTTTCACATAATTTCTGCTTGAAGCAAATTAATTTATTTTTTTCATTTTTTTATTTTTTATAAAGAACTACCAATTTTTTTCAGGTAATGTAAAGGATCCTTAAAAATATGGTGCAGGTCTAATTTTCATTGAAGTCTCAGATTTTTTGAAAATTGCAGTAGTTAAAAAGAATGTGAGAAAGTATGTGTTCTAGCACCATTAGTTATTTTATGTGACTGGTACTAAATTATTGACAAACACAAAAAGCTACCATTGTGACACTTTTAAAATTATAGATTTAGTCCAGTAAGCATTCAATTTACTTTGTAAGAAAAGAATATATTGTAATCGTGATTGGATTGCGTTGGAAATTGTGATTTTTTAACAGGAATAACTGTTATTGCTGAGCCCTGGTAAAGAAAAAGTGGATAAATATTATTGCTATGTATAGTAAATTACTTCCTCCATCACATTGAGTAGTTAGTGTCTATATTTTATGGGTATTTTATACCAAAAAATCAATCTTATGACAAAACACAAAAATTTCTCAGCAATCAAATATTAATTCTTCATCTATCCCTTGAAAACCTCTTCAGCAAAAGTAGTGCAGGAAATTCAAATTGCAAATTTTGAAAATTTTGGGGGTTTTATTGAAAATTGGGCATGAATGTTATTCAACATGTTTTGCTCTAATTAATCAATAATTTTTGATTGAATAGAGCTAAGGGCCCTTATTATAGTGTCACAGGTGCTATTTCCAATCAGACCTCTGATTTGGTTTTGCAAAAGTTCAACTTCTTTTTTTCACTTAATGTGAGTGGTTTTCATGTAATTTTGAGTGAAACAGCCCCAGTTTTCAAAATATAGAGTAAACAAAGTTTTCTCAAACCAGCTCCTAATTTTTTCTTTAAATTTGTTTCTTGAATAGAGCTAAATGGGTTCAGTAATATGATCTAGGCCCAATTTTCAATAAATTGAAATGTCAAAAATTGCAGTTTGAATTTCCTGCACTTCAGCTGAAGAGTTTTTCAAAGAATGCTGAAGCTAAAAATAATAAATGAATGTATTATTTAAAATAAGCATTGAATATGTAGTAATATCACCATAATATTACTATTTCTCTATGTTCAGTCTGAATTTGAAAATTCAAAACGTTCTGCACCTGCTGTGGTACTTACATGCGTTCTATTCGTGGCCTTCAGGTGATCCAGATCAGAATCAAAATGAAACTGAAGTCACAGGAATTGCATGGAACTTTCCAGAAGCTGTTACATCTCATGTTGCTGCAGTTGATCTGAATGATCTATATGTTTCAGTTGTTAGGTAAGTTAGGAACTGCTACATTTTTCAGAAAAAAGTATATATTTTATTTAAGAGACGGATGATCTTTCCTGCAGATATTTTTATTTAACTCTGAATTGCCTGAAATATAATTTTGTGTATGTGCATGTTTTTCAGCGGGTTAAATACATGGTTTGGTTCGCAAGTAATGACCGACAATGAATTTATTCTCAACAATGCCTTAAAGAACTTCGATGTTGGAAATAATGTAGCCAGTCCTAAGAAACGTCCTTTATCATTGGCTGCTCCAATAATAGTCACTGAAAGTGGTCAAGTCTGTGGTCGAAGATTAGTTCTGGGAGCAGCAGATACTACTATAGCTGTCCAGCTGTTGGCTGAGTTACTGTTACTGCACCAAAATGGGACAGCAAGTATTGAAGCTCCACGATTCCATTTTAAACCTGCTGAAAAACTAATTGAATTGGAAGGTTAGTACCTGTCACATTATGATTATTATCACAAATGGACTGATTATTTAGATGCTTGAATTCTCTAAATCTGAAAAATATTTCTGGTTCAATAAATCATTTTTATTAAACTTCTTATGACTTCAATTGTAAAACATTTATTTTCACTTGAAATTCTTTGGGGGTTATTCATTTTATATTATTTTAATTTTCTTTACATTCTTTGGTGAAATATTAATCCATTAATTATTGATACCTTTTGGTTTGCACTGAATCTATTAAGAATTACTGGAGAGTGACAATGTTACATGAAATACCAAGTAGAAATTATGGTTAGTGAAAGAAATTTGTGGAATATTTTTATATTACCATTAATAATTGAATGGGTATATGAAGTAATCTGATGAGAGACGGTGAAAATGAAATAAAATCAAAATATTCAATTTTTATAAGTAGCAATTATTAAATTTGTATGATATAAATTAATATTCACTTTAAAAGGGTTAAGTGTAATACACCAGTTTATGCAAAGTATTTTTTTATAGTGCCTACTGTTACCATGATTCAACTACAGGATTTAACAATTCTCATGTGCGCACAGTCTTTAAAAATTTTAATCTTTTTCTTTGACAGGACTAATGTTACAAAAATGCTATAATTTCTTGTGACAGTGACACAAATAGATAAATAAATATATACGTTGTCACTGTTGAATTTTTTATTGTCACTGCAGTAGTCGCATAGTCAGTCCATTTAAATTTATTTCTCTTTCTTTTAAATAATATTTACCTTAGAAAAATCTGTGATTTCACTTCCGTTCTACAAAGAATTAATCTAAATAGTTCTTTCAATTGATTGTCTAATTTAGTTTGATCCGTTTTGGAGTTACCAGCAATATCAGATTTCCAGTCCAGTGTAAGACTTAGTGCTAGTGCATTACATCTGTTGCTCAGAATGTTGGGTAATGAAACGAATGGTTATACAAATAAAATGAATGAAATGTGATGTACAATATTTGAGTAATTCTTTTAATGTTCTTGTTTAATATTGTTTGTTATGAAATTCATGAATGATGGAAATGCATTTCAAAACCCATTTCTGTACAAATAAATGACAAAATTGCTCTTCCATTGTTATTAACTGTCCATTTAAATATTTTTAACATCCCCAAGCCTTTTCAATGCAAGTTCCTTTGCTAACTATGCTTATTTGACTAATCTACTTTGCTTTTGTTCACTTTAGGCTATATGTGAACTCTTGAGTCCCCCATTACTGCTGAAGTTTCAAAATATGGGTTAGGGCTATAGCCCGAAGGGTTAAAAAAAATCAATACTACAGAAACATCAGTCATTTATTGTATTAGTATGAATCTCTCAACCTGTGTAGTGGTAAAAAAAATATTTTGATTCACCCATTGATATTGGTTTATGAATTTTTGTATTTCAGGTTTTAGAGCACCCATTTTAAGTAATGCAACAGTGACTCTACTTCAGCAGATGGGTTTCAAGTTTCAGAAAATTCAGGGCCCGCTCCAAAGCTGCAATGTGGTAGAAAAAATTGGAGACACACTTACATCTCATTCTGATTCAAGAGGTGGTGGAGTGTCTTCCAGATATTGATATTAAAAATTAAGTTTTTTTTTATTTGTTCATTTATGAATGCAAGTTTTTAATTTTTGTAGTTTTAATTATTTTTAAACAATAAAGTTTTCTATTTACTTGTTATTGTGGTTTCTGTTTTATTTTGTTTCGAACAGAGTTGTGCCGTAGACTATAATTTTACGTGTAAGTGTGTTTTTTACATGTAATCTACATGTAGTCTTCGTGATTCTTTATTATGGTTAGACTATGTAGACGATATAATCTACACGGGCTATTTACTATTTCACATAACCTAATCCAAAAAGGTTGTAATAAGTAGTAATAGAACTAGAACATTTAGATGCAATATTAAAAAATTATTTTCAATTCCCAATTGAAGTTAAACAAAATATGCCACTTCTGATGAATAAATGGCAAACTTCGTAACCAACACAGGTGATTTCGAATTCGGTCAAGGACTGGCATAAATTTAAAAAAATGCAAAATATATTTTTCATTTTTGATGGAAATCTAAGACGTGTAATGTCACACAAAGGCTTCAATACTAGTTCATTAACTGTTAATTATTCAAAAACACTAGGAAAAAGTTCCAATTAGAATGTTGTTGAAGAATCCCAGATACTATGGATTGTCGAAGGAGAATGATAAGTTTTGCAAAAGAAGTACCGTGGAGAGGTTGATAAGTGCATCAACTGATGTCACTGTAGTGCACAGTGTCTCACTGGAAGGTCCTAGGTTTGAGACCCGACGGTGGTTGGATTTTCGACACTAGCTAGAGAGCTAGGTCGAATTCAGCTGCTTTGTGGAAGAGAATTCTAGCGGCTCGCTGCTCTGATCAGTAGTTTTCCATGGTTTCTCTAATCAATGCCAAAGCAGTACACTAACAAACGGGACTTTCCTTATGCTTATGACTTTCCTTCCCATTCATTGTCCTATCCTACCCCTCGCTTATACACACTAATACTTGCATGTACTACCTTACAGGGAGCCCAGCACACATGTCGGGTGCTTCGGGCATGTCCCAGCAGGGGCCTGGTTGCGAAAACTCCTCTAGCCGATGGTAGGACAGTGCTCGATCTCGCCATTCAGCAGGGGAAGATCACCACAATACGTCGAGTGCCAACACTAATTTCAACAGCCCGTTTTTGTTTTCTTAGTTATGCATTGCTATGGGCTATTGGAGTGATCCCTTTTCCAGCCGAAGTACTAAGTCTTTTAAGAAATGATTGGTCTTGTTTGAGAGTTATTTGTGTGGACTACGGTCGACGATGACTGAAGTTGTATTACGTATATTTTATGAAATTATGTATATTTAGAAACTAGTTGAAAGACTCTGTATAGTCCGTTTCCACACAGAATTCATTCTGAGAATAAGAAAACCAGTTATTACTGGACATTGAGTAAAGAAGGGCAAGTCTCCTTAGTTGAGCGTCATTTCTTTCACCAGCACCAGAACACTCGCTTAAAAATGTAATTGATATTGGGGTATGCTAATGATATTGTTTTATTTTCTTCAAAAATGTGGTACGGGATTATCTAGAGATGAGCCCTTTAATATAACTAGGAGTGCTACAACAGCACTTACTTTCTCGCGATAATTCTAGGTATGTTTTCTCGAAAATTCATAGAGTTCAAGGAAAATGAATCCTGTGTCATTCTTTTAAGTGTTCTTCTAACTGTGGAAAAAAATTGGAACGGTTTTTCAGAAAAAAAATTGTAAAGAAATAAAATTGCTTGTATTTTCCGCAAAATGATGTGAAATATACTCATGTTTAAAAAAAAAAAATGAACACGACTTTATTTCAAAATTTTTTCTTTAAAGAGATTTCGTTAAAAAATCTATATCTTCAATATGGTAGTCGTAGACGCCACCAAAAATTGCACTTTTGCATTTATCGAAAAATCAGGGATTTCAACATAAGACCCACATTCACTTGTTTCCGTTACACAATCCGAGGGCAAAGTTACAAAAAAAAGTACCATTTTTGAGAAAATTGTGTAAATATTTTTGAGATTTCATGTAAAGTAGCCTCAAAAAATCAAAATATTCGTTTGAAACATATAAAACCTGGAGTTCGTTCGATCGGATAATATCAATTTTGCAGAAAATCAGCTGAACGGTTTAGGCGTTTGCGTTGACCACAGACGAAAGTTTAGCCGTCAATTCATTTTTCGGTATTAAATATCCATGAAACAACGATTCTGGCTACACCACGTGCTAGAGAAAGTAATTTACTATAAATAGGAACAGGTTTTATACACTTTTTCATTACCAGGTCCCGACAACAGGAGTTTTTCTCCCGAAAATTTGCCGTTTTCTGGTGCACGATTACAATACTGTCTTCTCTTACAAAGTAAGTGTGATAAAGTAAAAATTACACCATGTACTCATGCAACCCGCAACACATTACGCTGCAACATACACTACCTTCGTGCATATCTCATAAGCGGTGCTTCTTTCGCCCTTGAAACTAAATTTGTCCCGTCACGAGTTATATTTTTGACGCTGTAATCTACAAAATAATATTTTTATTTTTAAAATGTTTATGTAGTCAAAGGGCAGTAAAAAATGTGTGTGGCGTATGGGGGAGGAGTACCAGCTGCGCACGTATTCTGACAAGATATTTTTGGACTTTGATGTAGTTGTTCTTTTTTTGTTTTAATTTTGAAATTGCTCCTCTGAACACCCCCGCTCCACAGCGTACATTAGCGGGTAGAAACGAGGAGAAACACAAAATATACAAGCCGTTTTATGAACGATTCCTTGCGATAGAAATGGTCCTTTATAATGCTGGTATACAAAAAAATATTTATGAGTGAAAATAGTCTCATTTGTAGTACAAGGTGAATACAATGGAATACTGCTCCTCAGTAGCGACTTTCCTTTGCGCGCCAAATTCAAGGTTGGATACTTTTTAGACGTACTTCGTAAAGTGAAGATGTCTTGCATTATCATGCATGAAGCGGGTATTTTCTATCTACTAGAGAGTGTTTTCCTGCATAGAATGATGTATCATATTCTGCCCATTACTTTGAAAGGGTGTCACTCATACACCTGTTCTAATGCAATGTAATTTCTCTCTATAGAAATAACAGTTCATGCTTAATGACGTTTGTGACTCCTTTTTCTATTCAGATATGTCTGAAATGCACCTTCACTAAACGTGGCTTGTTTGCTCTACGACACTTACTGATTTTGGATCAAATACAATTATGAACAAAGCTCGGAATTTGACGGCTTAAAAATTCTTTGAAAATGACCTTAAAAGAAGAGGAAAATGTCCTAATTCAAAAAAATTCTCATACATTCGTATGAATATAATTATTATTTCAATGAATTTTACAATTTTAAATGAAATTTATTTATACAAACATATATTTAATATGAATCTTTATTTTAGGAGGAAATGTAATCCTTAGCTCTGGTCTTCCAACCGTCAGCTTGGAAAGGACGTGGAAGTTAACGAAGATCAGTGTAATTTTGACAGAAAAACAGATCATTGCAGAAGTGAATTTCGTCATGAACTAATGATACTATAAAACCTTTATTTTAGTGCTGGCGCGGATTGATCCACGGGGCGGAAAATGAGAGAATTTTCTCCTCCCAAAATTGTTCAGTAATTATTAATTGTAATTTGTCACGAAACTTTCGAGCAAAAATATTTCCGTATAAACATTGAAAAAACGAAAAACATTGTATGATGATATGAGCTGAGTTTAGCCTGCGTCATTCTACATAATCTGTAATATGACACATTCGACCAAAGCATTTTGAATAAAAAAGTTTCCCTTCCCATAATTCGTCTCTGGATCCGCCCCTCTTTCGTGTGTCAATGTAAATTCATGAAACATTCACTAATAAAAAACATTAAAAGGAAACAAAATGCGTAAAAATAACAAAAATGACGCAAAGGTCCGAAAAAGTTGAAAAATGGCAAAAAAATGCCAAAGAATGACCCAATAATTGTATATTTCTATAACGTATACGTCGTGATAAACATTAGCTACGTAGTTAGCTACGTATAGAACGCACCTACAAAAAGATGACTTGTCATCAGAATCCGAGTTCAGATTATGAGGCTTTGAAAGCTATTATGGAATCTGCTACTCCGGCACAGAGGTTTGTTTGTTCTCTTGTGTCAATATTTGTAGAAAAGAAAGCATAGAACAATTTTGTTAAAATGATAAAGAAAATTCCTCTACAATGTTATATATGAAGTTCACGATGTGTTTTGCGTGTGTTTTAGCGACCGGCTGCCCTGATCGCTGGTATTCCGTGGTTTCTCGGAGCAATATTCGTACCAGGTGAATTCCTGAACAATACCCTAACAATCCGGCTACGGACCGCGCGCGATGTTTCCCTTCCTTTTCCTTGTCCTTACCTCTCCTCTTATACACACTCACTCACACTCACACACACACACACACACACGCGCGCGCGCGCGTGCGTACATGCTCTACACGTGTCGCCAGCTTAGAAATTGTCCCGGATTGAGCGGTGCCCGCTGGAGGAAGATTCCTTAAGGGGAAATTCCCCGCAAGATGATGTGTGGATCAGCGCTGTATCTCATTAGCAGTGATGGTGAGAACATCGCCACTTCAGGGCATCAGAACATCACACTGACAGGGCTAATGACTTTAGTGGTTGACGTATCTGGAAAGATAATAAATAGATAAATAAATAAATAAATAAATAAATAAATAAATAAATAAATAAATAAATAAATAAATAAATAAATAAATAAAACATTTTTAAAATCCTGAAATTCCGCTACTATTAATTAATTTATAAGTAAATAAATTATCGAACGAAAGAACGAAGAAAGAAAGAGCGAAAGAAACAAGCGAGTGAGTGAGCGAGCAAACAACCAAAAAAATACGCTACAAGTTAATTCGAGAAACGCATGTACGTACATCAGTCGATACAATTGCCACATTTAAGAGACATTGAAGACGTGCGACATTTTCCTGACAGAAAATAAGATACACCCCCGTCGGTGAAACATTCCATCTGCTGCGCAACTTCTCGCTTTCTTCTGCCGTTCGTATTCCTAGCGTTGGATGCACTTGGTCGGAGAAGTTGCTGCTTCATAATCCTTTGGAGACACCTGTCGGGTCTCGGC